CGAACAGAAGGGTGCTTGGGGCTTTCAGTCTTTAAAACATCTTCCAACTGTTTGGACCTTCTTAGAAAGGGCAATTGGGCGTTTTTTGTCCCTTAACAACCCCACAAATGACAAAAGGAATAAAAGAAGTCATTTTAAATTTCCCCTAAAAGGGGTTTTTATTTTTTAAGGGTTTATGAAAACCCCCTTTCCCCTTGGGATCGATCCCCTTTTGGTCTTTTTAGGGAAATTTTTGAGCCTCAGGATACAGGTCAGCAGCCTCAGCAACGTCCTCAGCTTTAATCAGGTTACTTTCTCTGATGAATGTTGTACTAAAAGGGGGGAAAAGCTGTCAGGAACGGTCAACAACCCTTTAAGTCTCTAAGAGATTCATAAAATGTGATCAGTTCCTGAAAACCCCTAACCAAAAAATCCCAAAAACGAAAGAGTGTTACCTGTAACTGCGAAAGTTCGGGGCCCGGCTTAAGGTGGGATACCTGAAATCTTTTTCCCGTAAGAAAATTTTTGGTTTTTTGATATGCTTTTAAAGGGGGGCCTTCTTTAGTAGGGTTTAATTAAAGTATGATATTTTGCGACAAAATTTTCATAGATATTCCCAAAACAAATACCAGAAAAAAAACATACCCCAAACCCAGTACCCAGGTGTCAGCAGGGCCCTTTTACCGAGGGGTAGCGGTATTTTCAAACCTTTATAAATTTTTGAAGTAATGTCTTCACCTTCTTTGAAGGGAGGTAAATTAGGTGTTGGAATATGGGGCACTAGCTGCATGATGTTTCCCAAATTTCTCCTTCCTCTAATTGTTTTTGTGTTTAAAAATTAACTTTTTTTTTCTCTATTTCAAAAGGGGAGATTTTTTGAGCTTTGCGATCCTTTTTTCTCTCATTAACTCGTGTTCTCTATCCTTTCCCCTTTCCTCAAGTTCTCTTAATTTTTTTGTTCCTCACGTTAAAAACTTTGCCCCCTGTTCCTCCCCGTATCTTAGCCTGTTTTCCCCACGTTCAAATCTTCACGCTCCCTTTTTTGGGCTTTTCGCTCCGTTCTAAAATGGTTTTTTCTCGGTTTTTTCCCCTTCCAAAATTTCTCTCTCTCCTTTTTTCCCCTTCTCTTTCGATTCTCTCTCTCTCCTTTTTTTCTTCTCTTTCCCTTTTTAGCTGTCTTTCTTCTCTCTCAATTCTCTTTTTCAAGTTTTTTCCTGGATCTTAGCCCCAATGAAAGATTCTAAAATTTTTTCCCCGTTAACCTAACTTACTTCCAGCGTTTTATTTTCCCAAAAAATGGGATTCCCCCATCTTTCAAAAATAAAAAACTATCAGGGGAAAAAGAAAAAAAGGGATTAAAAAAAAACGGAGGGTTCAATTTTGCTCCGTCCAAAAAGTAAATTAAACCCAAAGGGGTCGTCCCTGCTTTTAATTTAAACAAAATGTATTTAATTTAAAAAGAAGGGTTTATGCTGGCTCCCAGCAAACAATAAGTAGAAAAGGGGTCACTTGACCATCCAATCTTCTCACCAACAAAAAAAGAGTGTCCCCTTTTACAGTTTCCCGTATAATAAAGAGCTCAATTTAAACAAAATTGTCACTGGGAAAATCCGGGGGGCCCCAGGTCAAAACCTCCCAAAATGTTTTTAAGCCCCACACACAATTAGGTGGCAGAATTAAATATTATATCCTGCCTGACTTTACTTTCAATAAATTTTTGGCTTTCACAATCACCAAATCTTTTAAATACCTGTTTCCGTAGTCTTACCATAGAGAATGATTACTCATGGCCCGGGGGTAAAACCCTCTGTGGGGATTTCCCGGGGTTTTAAGTTCCAATGGTAGATTTGAGATGGGTTGAAACTTGATTCAAATTTGAGTTAAATCCCGGGAAGGTCGCCTCTTGAAGGGTTTTCTCAGCCCTGTAACAACTTCAGACAGTATTACCCGGCTTTGGTCCCCCTCAGGAAAATTAAAGAATAGAAAAAGAAAAAATAAACAAAACCTTTATTAAAATAGGAAAAAAGAAAATAAAAACACTTAAATAATAAATTTTTTCCTAAAATTTTAAAAAAAATTAAAAATGAAAAATTTTTAAAAATAACCCGAATTCAACGCTTATATATATAGGGGTGTCTGGGGTTGGTGACACTGTGTGTTGTTGAAATCGTAGCCGTTTTCTGATGGGTTTTTGGGGGGTGGGGGGTCGCAGGTTGGTTACGCCCCTTTGGGTATTTTTCACAGTATAACCGAAAAAACATCTCGATGACAGGGAAAACAGGTTTTTTAAATGCTGCAATGATGTGGGGTTTTCGCCTGCAAATTTTATACAGGTGCACAAAAGGGAATTAAATCCCAAAAAAGGGGCTCTCCAGGATTAGTCCGTCCCCTGTTTTTCTCGCTGATTGGGCAGGTGACCCTCTCTGTCATCCCAAACTGAAAAGATAGACAGGTTACCCACTGCTTTAAAAAATCACTCTCCATGGCCGTACAAAAACTCAAAAGAAAGTGGTTATTAAATTTCAACAGTCACCCCAGAAAACAAAAAACTGAAAGGGCCAAGTTTTTTTATTTTTCAAAAGTAAACTTTTTTTTAAACCCAAAAAATTTCCCCTAGGGAATTTCAAGGCAGGCTTTTACTTACAGTAGTGTTGGGAAGCTGTGATCGATGAATTTTCTGTTTTACCAAAAGCCCCACACGTCACCCTTTTGGGGGGGGGGGGGTTTTTTTTGGGGAGGGGAAAAAGGGGAAAAGGGGGGCTAGACTGACCCAAAGTTAACAAAACACCGGCCCGTCAAATACCGTTTTTAGGGGGGGGAGAAAAGGTGGGGAAAAAAAGGGGGCTTACTTACCCATAAAACCCTTTAAAAGTACCGGCAATGAAATATTGTTACTATAACGCTTTCCCCCCTATTTAAATTTTTCCCCACTTTGTGATATTTTATTTTATTTTGGTTTATCTGGGAAAAACTAAAATTGGATCAAACTTTTTTTTCCCATATTCTAGTCATTTTTCGTTATTTTTTCCCCCCCTGTCATATCAAACTCCAATTTTTCTATTGGAACATGCTCGCTGTTTTCAAGATGATTTTTTTGTTTTACGAAAAAAAATTCTCTGTTTCATGTAGTACCAAGTCCAGTGTTGTCTCTCCCTCAAGTCGCTTCTAGGAATTTAGAAAAATTAATATATGCGCGCATATGCGTGTTTTTGTGAATGTATGTATGTGTGTGTGTGTGTGTGTGTGTGTGTACCGAGTTGTGTTAGTGAGTTTCAATACTAAGCTTCTGGCTTTGCCTCCATTGACATCACAGATTTTTTTGGCCACTTGGGCCTTATCATATCTACTCTTGAAAGCTGTGTTTGAGTTTGTCTCCACCACTGCCTCATTCAAGTCAATCCACTCTTCAGCCACTCTCAGACTAAATAAATAATACTTCTTTACGTAATGGCTAATCCGTGACCTCAGCTTCCACATTTGTCCCTTGATCCTGGCCTTCTTAATTAAGTCTGTTCTGTCTATGCTACAGTACATTACACCAGTTCTGGTACTAATCTGGTTGTAAACATTCGGACATTTTGGAGATTTTTTCACATGCTTGACCAGGTGTGGGCTTAATTCTGGGGCTCATGCAAGCTCCTACAGGCTTTTCTGTGGTTTGCTAATACTGCATTTCCCACTGCTAAATAGTTTATGCGTATTGTTGGGGTTATCATGCTTAGTATTACATGTTCGAAGATGTGTTTTTCTTTACTCGCTTAGTATGTCTCACTTTATGTTTACAAGGATTGATTCAGGGCTGCTGGTCTCGCTGTGTAACATTCAAAGAAGCACTGAACAGATTCCTGGCCTTTGGGGGCCACATTATATCTACTCATAAAACTGTGACTGGTGTTCGCTTACCCCTACATCACCTGCTTATTTGTTTCACTTCCTCTACCCTGAGAATTAAAAGGCCCGTGTGGATCATCTGCATCTTTAAAAGGCCCGTGTGAATCATCTGCTTCTTTAATTGCAATCATGTCCCGCTCCCCCCCTCTCCTCACGTCTCATATAGCCTGTCCCGAAAAACTTTTTCTGAAGGATATGAAAACCCATTTCCATGGCTGGAACAAATAACCCCCACTTAAGTGAATTAAACTAAAGGCGACGTTTTGGTCCGGCTTGGACCATAAACTAATACTAGTAGGACTTTAATTCACTAAGTATTTTGAATGTCGTGATCACATTCTCCTTCATTTTTTTTTCATCTAGTATTATGTTAAGTTCCTTGTCCCTTGTAATTAATTTCTCCTAATTCCTGTACCAGTCTTGTTGTGATCCTTTGGATCTTCTGTAGTTTCACGTTTTTGTTGAGGAATGGTTGGGCTCCATGCTGCTGCAACTACTCCTAGGCAAGTCTAGTTTTAAGATTTACTTAATATACTGAAAAAGTAATGCATAGTTGAGTACTTGAAAGTGATTGATTCTTTGTTTAAATAGTATTGCATGTTCCCCGGCAGTTAAACGGCTGGTATGTTCACCTAGTAGGTAATATGCTTGGTACAAAAGTTTACTCCCAGATCTTTGAGCTCTGAAGCTGTAGACAATGCACAAAGACAATTTTCATGGCCCCTCTGCAGTTTCGCGCCTTCATATGTGTATTCCGTCTCCAGTCTTCTTACCCAATCTTTTATTTTCATTACCTTGAACTTTTTAGAATTAAAATCAAGCAGCCACCAGTTGACTCTGTCACGTTTGCAATCTGTTCAGGTCATCTTGGAGTCTAACTCTGCCCTTTCCAGTTATCTTCCTCATTAAATTTACATCATAAACAATCAATGTTACGTGGATTCAATTTGCTCCGACTAGTCATTTATGTATATCAGGAGCAGGAGGTAAGTGGTTTGTGTGTGTGTGTGGTGTGTGTGTGTGGTGTGTGTGTGTGTGTGTGTGTGTGTGTGTGCGAGTGTATACGTGATGTATAATACTTGTTTTATTATAATTATTAATGTAAACCTGGTTTGTTTACCCACGTACAGATAGCGGCGTACGTACTAGTGTTTCTGGTGTCGCTGGTGGGGAACCTGCTGGTGATATTGGTAGTGTACTACAACACTCACATGCGAACCACCACCAACCGGTACCTGGTGAACCTGGCAGTTGCTGACCTGTTGGTAACGTTGGTCTGTATGTGGGTACACATAGTGCGTCACCTGTCTCACCCGCACTACGTGCTCCCTACACTCTTCTGTAAGCTGGACGGCTTCGTGCAAGGTAAGCGAAGACTCCTCATATACGCTTCAATCTTAACCTCCCTTATTTTTCTCCTTTCGGGAGAGAATATATTTAGCTCGTCTGCATAAAAAAGACTCCTAATACATAGGATTAACCTTATCATCTTTTTCGGGATATTTCTCCAACGAATTTACGTCCATTCTATAAAACGAGGGCCTGCAATGCTCCATTAAAAATAGTTATAATTATAAGGTTTAATGTGGTGGATCGGGAAGCCAACGGAAGGCATCGGCAGATGACCAAAATCTCAAGCTGCGGGTCATAATATAACTGAGACCCGCGTCAGGAAACACTTGTCTTGTTTTCCTGACAAATCTTATCTAACCTAACCACTATACGCCATATTATCTTGGTAAAAGCTCACCAGCGATATAGAATAAAA